TTCAGGCTTAGCGCCCTCTCTTTTTCTTTTTTCTTTTTTTACTCCCTTGCTTAGCTGGACTATAAATCTCTGCGCTCTCACTTCTAATTCTTGGACTTCAGGTTCTCTTCAGCTTCACTGCAGCACCTGAGCATCTGAGGCAAATCAGAGGGACACACTAGGAACCAATATACTGACTGTGTTAGTGCTCTCAGTATATTGGTTCCTGGATAAAGTGGGCCAGGTGTTGCTTCCGTACCAATATAATGTAAACCACCAGAGGGGGCCAGTGATGAGGTTTGGGCCAAAAAAAGAATCCAACACAACCAGATGCAAACTCACAACACTCTTTTACATGTTTTACAACTGCTAAGCGGATTATTTGTGTCTCACCTGTCAGGTCTCCCTCCCTCTTCCTTTAATTTCCTGCTGCTACCCATGGTATAGCCCCCCCACCCCCACACACACACACACACAACACTCTGTGGTCCTGTCCTCTCCCAGGGTTCAGACTAATGACTAGTGACAGTCCACTGAGGGGAGCGAGCTGTTTGCAGTCAGCAGTGCGTTTGTTGGTAATTATTTTCCAGAGTGTCACATTAGTGTCAGCCTCATGGCGGTGAGAGAGGAGAGCGGACGGGGCCCCGGCTGGCTGGCTGGCTGGCTGGATGGGTGAGGCAGGCAGAGAGGGGAGGGTAAAGGGTGTGATGTTTGGTGTTGGGCAGTGTTGTGTTTGTGTGTGTACATGTGTGTAGATTGAAGTGGTTGTGGTGGGCTGAGGACACAGGCTGTCACTACTCTTTACCGTTCGCCTCGTGGCAACATGAGACTTAAGATTGAGGATGGAAGTGAGCAGAAGTAAAAGAATTGGTACACAGTTTTCTCTCTTGTTAGCACAACTGTGTCTGTCTTAAAGGACAAGGCTGGAGATATTCAGCATGAAAAGACCAACAATGGTATTACTCTTATTTTATCATGCCGTAGACGGACTGTTCAAATCAATGAGTCACAACAGTGAACTGACTGACATCTCCGTACTTTTTAATGAGGTTATTCTGAGTCAGCCTTCATGTAAACGTGCCACTGTAAATATTCCCCTTAGCACATCAAGTGCATATTAATACGCAGCAGAAAATTAATTGCAAACAATGTTTTACACCCGTTCGTGCAGCAATCGTTGTTTGTCTCTAAGTGTTGGCATTGTGATACACTGGCGACCTGCAGGGTGTTCCATGCCTCTCTCAGGATGTCAGCTCCAGCTCCCCCTGGAACCCTCTGTGGATACACAGTATAATGGATGGATGTGAAGCTGTGAATATGTGTAGCTGTGTAACTTTGCCTCTTCTTTTACACTTTAGCAAGTAGTTTGCACTGGGCTCCATTAATTAATCTGTCTCACATCACTATAATCAGCACCCTGCTTAGCCTTTTTATTTTATTTAACCAGGAAGGTCCGATTGAGACTAAGAATCTTTGAGCTGAGTGCCACAGACAGGAGTCAAAAAGTATTTAGACACAAACTATTGTTGGTTTGGTTTGCTACTAAAATGCATTCTTGAACTTATAGTTTGAGAGTAAGTTACTTGAAGTTGCACACTCTCCATTCCTTATTTTCTTTCCCTAGTTAATATTTCCTTCTTGTAAAACGTCATAGATCCACAGTGATCTCATAAAAGTACATTCAGTTCAGGGGATTCCATTTCAGCTATATTGAAACAAAGTTGAGTGAATGCAAACTGTGTGCGGTGAATGTGAAAATATACAGGATGCTGGCGTATGTGTAAGTGAGAGAGAGAGTTTGTGTGTGTGTCTGTGGTGGGGGGCAGTCACCAGCCCCCTTGGGAGGAAGCGATCAATGATTGAGACCATAATGCACCTCTCTGTATTCCTCCTCACATTCACGCTCACTGGATGCTTTGGAAGCTGTCACACACACACACACACACACACACACACACACACACACACACACACACACACACACACACACACACATTGTCACATGTTCGACAGCTCATCTCTCACACGTTCCCTTCCACTCCATCTTGTAGCTGTCTGGTCGATGGCCTCTCTCTCTGTCTCACTTCCACTGCTCAGTCTTTGGCAGACAGCTCTGCTCTGGCGCTGTCTCTCGCTATGTTAATATAGTAGCTAACCTCTCTCTCCATAGCAGCTACCACACAGTCTCTACGTTGATATAGTGGGGCGAGTGCAACACTCCACCGCACAACTACTACCCAACTGACTCCAGAGAACTGAGCACTCTTCATCTCCACCACTGTTACTGTCTCTGTGAGGACCCAGCCGGGGGGGCTACGTCGTCCTGCACACACTGAAACTTTAATTTCTGGCTCATCTCTCTTTTCATAACACAAACTTAATCTTTGCCCATTTTCATAATCTTTTTGTTTTTATTAGGGAGGACTGTATGAATCTGCAGCAACTGGAGATTGTCAGTCTCACAGCAAAAGGCAATTATCACTAATTGGTTTGTGGAAATTATCACAGCAGTAACTTAGTTTACTCCGAGTCCCCAAAACAATCAGCGAATAAGGACGAGGAGAGTAGAAAATAAAGGCACAGAGTATTTACTGTTTACAACTCTAATTACACATTGAGAAGGTTAAAAGACTCTGCTGATGACCTCTGGCATCGTAATAAAGGAAGTGCAGAACTCTCATCATGTTGATTTAATTTGCCACAAATTATTTCTTACATTACACATGGCAGAAACTAAGATGTAGATTTCAAATAGCTTGAAAATTATTCAAAACTCTATTTAATGTCAAAACGCAAAACACTCTAGTATCTAAAAGACGAGACATGTTGATGAAGCTGATGAACAAGACCAACAATGACACAACGACCAAATCAAAGCATAAACCATATGCATTAAAGATGCTCCGCTCTTGTGTGTGAAAGCTTGTGTATGGCCGTCAAGTCGACAGCCTATAGTGACTCACCTCCTGCCAGAAAATGAACACATACAATTAACATCACATCCCATCATCCTCAGCTGAGCGCGTACGCCTGTAATTGGCTGGCTGACCAGCCTACGTGGCTCCGGGTGGCAATTTATTCTGGGAGCCACGCAGTTTACCCTGGGCGGCTAACGGCCCCTGTGCCATAACCTGGCTGAGGCAGCGGGGACATCATTAACACTTCACTGGGCTGCAGGACACACACCCATCATCCACTATACACACCACCCACAGCCACATAGCACACGGGGCAAATTGGAGGAACTGGGTAGAAATAATAATCATAATGTCAATGGAGCCACTTGTGGTGGTGTGTTCACTGATCAGCTGGCAAATGAGGATATTTTTGGCAGGTCCATGGTGAAATAATGGAAAAGCAGTTTCCTGCTGTCAACCTATAGATTACCTTTAATTATTGATGTGTAATGAAACAAAGGTTATTCTTCCCCTGAGCACATCTGGTTCTGGATTCTCAGTCCAGTCTTGTCTCTAACCCTGACCTGTGAGCTTGTCTGTTTGTGTGGTGGCATGCAGTTGTCTAACCCCAAAACAATGTGTGAGGGAGTGGGTGCTCCATAAGTGCAGTAATGACCTTGCCTTGTCACAAGGAAGACATGTGTTAGGCACTTCCATATTGGTCGGAGGGTGAGACTGTGAGTTAGTCTGGACTCTGTTTTACGTGTCCATTAAAGGTCTTCATCTGCTGTCTGTCCCTCTGCCTCTTCACCAACCAGGTGTCTTTAGGAGTGAGAGGGAGCGGCCCTCGAGGAAGCTTCTATTTCAGGGAAGGCTTTTGAGGATGTGAGGGACAGATGAAGTGTCCAGGCTAAATCGTGGTACTCTTCAGTCTTAGGTAATGTAGTCATGTGACCTGAGAATATTTATTTCTATATTCCAATTATCTGGTGTTTTCAGCCTGACTTAGCACCCACTGATCTCCAGCTCTGTCTCCCCACAAGCCTCCTCCTTGTGTCTTCTTCTTGGCTGTGATATTCCCAATCCACTCATTTCCTATCTCAGGACTCTCTCTCTCGCTCTCTGATTACACACACACACACACACACATGCACACAAGCAGGCAGGCTCACAGCCAAATGGCTGTTCATTAAAGACAGGGACCTGAGGGGAAGCAATCGTCTGAGAGACGGAAATTGCGTGTCACATTAGATTAGCAGTGTAAAGCCTCTGGATTGGCTCCGGGGAATAAGGAATTATTTCAATTACATTATTTCAAAAAGTCTTTAAGCAATACCAATACCGATAAAAACAAATTAAGAGTGATTTGGGCTGATTTGTGGCGCTCTGAGCTGTGCTTTCTGACAATGTGCTGGAGATCAGATATGAATAATGTAGATATTAGGCCGCTGCGTGTAATGTGTGGAAGTTGAAAGCAGATTATCTGTGACAAATAATACCATTGGTTTGCATTGTGTCTCATCAAAGGGGAATGTTTCCAAGTGTCAGTCACACTGTGCGCTCAGTGAAGCATGGAGGAGAGGAGAACTCCATCAGCTGCCATTCACACGCTAACAAAGCAGTGACACCAACTCACAGAAAGTGATGATCTGAGTGTTAACCTGTATAACTAACGCACTGAATTCAGACTTTTTATACGGAAATGTCTTGAACTAGAGCCTGAATGTTCTTTCACTTGTCTGATGTGCTCTCCTCCAATTTGCAGGTGCTTACAGGTGTAAAACTTGCAAACAATACAACAATAATGATGAATAGAGAATATAGTTTTAAAGTGTGTTCCTTTCCCAGTTATCTCTATGAAGTCTAAGGTCTGACATATGCCAGAAGGTTTTCTTGTGGCAAAACAGAACACTGTTCTTTTGACTCAATTTCACTCTTTACCGAGGGGCAAGAAATTGAATGTGTCCATCGCAGGCAGAGCGTCTCAGGGGGGAGAGGGGGGGGGGAGGCTACCGAGAGAAAGAGGGGAGGGAGAGAGGAGGAGGAGGAGAGGGGGGGTGTCACACGGAGCGCATGAAGGAGAGGCAGACCGACCCACAGCTACAGTCCACTCACATCCACAGCGACTGCACCTCCTTCAACTCAACGCACCTCGGCACTAACACAACTCCGTAACAACATCTGGAGGAGGAGGACGGCTGGAGAAACCGCTGGCCACAGCTGCACCGCGCGTTGTTTCCTCTCCTTTTCCTGCGCGTCCCGGAGAAAGTGCCGCGTCCCCGCAGAGACCCAGAAGTTGGCGGAGAGGGAGAGAGTGAGAGAGTTGAGGAATACATCTCTCTCTTTCTGTTCTTCATCACGGTGAGAGTCTGCACGATAACGTGAGTGGTCACAGTTTCATTTGTTGTTGGTGTACTTGGTTTTTTGGTGGCCATGTGTTGTGCGCGGGGGTTTGAGACTTGGAACTTGTGCGCCCCGTCGCTGCAAAACTGTTGGACGCTCCTGACTCGCGCGCAGAGACTTTAGAGAAAATCTTTTTTTTTTACGCATGAAGATGTTAAATGTTGATCTGACCTGTGCGCCTGCAGATGTGTGAAAACACACGTGTCTCTGTGTTGCCACTGAATCATGAAGAATGTGATATTGTTTTTATTTGTTAAGAAAAGAAAGTCGATTAAACACGTGCGCAAACTTCATTCTCATTCTGGATAATTTCGAAAACGTGTTTTGGTTCATAAAAGTAAAAACAAATTGATATATAAAGTGTTGTTGTTTTTGAGTTAATCATAAACCAAATTTTCACATTCAGATTTAAGCAGTTTTTCCACAAATGTCAGTGTTTTTCTATTTGTTAAATTTATATTTGAAATAGTGAACATTAGATGAAGCCGTTTTTTCGATTGAAATATGTCACAGTCCAACTTGTAGCTTGTAAAGAAACCACATTTTTATGTTTTCGTTTTTATCCCAGGCTTTTTGTAAATCGTTTTTTTTACGTATTAGAATAAACATCTTAAATCTATACGTTAAATGCAACGATTTTATTTAATTGGACACAATCAACGTGATTTACAATTCATCGATTTACTGAGATAATTATATACAATGTGATGATTAGTTAATTATTCACAGAGAAAAAACAAGAGAAGTCTTTCTTTTTCCAAATTTGTTGGATTTTCCTAAATGTAATTGTTTACACCACACTATCAAATTGATCTTTTTCAGGTTAATCTGTGTTTTTAATTAGTAATTATCTGTTTACAGCCACAGTATACTAGGCCTCCTCCAACCATTTTATAGAAAATGAAATTAGCCCAAAGCCTTAATTGTAAAAATGCTTCCAGAGTTGCAACTGTGTTTCATAAAATAAAGACATTATGATTTTTAATTTTCTTGAATAATAATAAAATATAATTTTTGCCAAAATAAGATATTTCCTTAATTATTAGAAATCAGTAATGTTGAAAGGAAAATAATAACTTTTTGTTTAAACTAAATAAAGCGTCTTTTTGGGATGATGAGTATTTTCCTCTCACGTTTAGTTCAGACTCTCCTCACTCTCTGTCTCCTCAGGACCACTAACAGGGAGGTGAATGGACCTTCACCGCCCCTTCAAGATGGACAGCCCCTCTTACCTGCCAGCTCCACTGGCCTCCCCTGCCCTCATGGTCCTCGCCTCGACCGCCGAGGCCAGCCGAGACGCCTCTGTCCCCTGCCAGGCGCCCAGGCCCTTCGGCATCCCCGCTTCCATGGAGAAGGACCTCCACCTCCCCTTCCCTTCAGCTTCCTACACATTCACCTCCATGTACCAGCGCCAGGGCCCCATGTCAGGCACCTTCTCCTCCCGAGACTTCCCGGCCTCCTTACTCCACCTGCACCCTCAGTTCACCCCACCAAACCTGGACTGCTCCACGCTCAGCATGCTCAACCACAGCGGAGTGGGTGCCTTCCGACCTTTCTCTTCCCCACAAGAGGAGAGGGAGTCTGGGGGTTACCAGTCCGCTTTCACCCCGGCCAAGAGGCTGAAGAGCTGCTTCCCAGAGGTGGAGGGGAAGGAGTTTGACTTTGGCTCTTTGGGCGGCTGCCTCAAAGCTGGGGAGGACTCAGGGAGGAAGCTGTTCTCCATGTCAGGCCTGCTGTCTGATGGAGAGGCCTCATCAAGCCCGGAGGAGCGCAAAGAGCACAGTGAGTACTTGACTTACAGACACCACACATCTGATCCATTTTTCTGTAAACATGCACAGCTTCCCCTGCTCACATGTAAAACACACACAAAGTCACGTCTCACGACTTTTAAAGCTGTGAAATCTGCTAGAGTTTAATTGAGCACATCAAGACCTTGCTCCCCCGACACGGCAGCACAGATGAGATTTACATATCCTCTGCATTGAGCAAAGGTGATAAATTGAAAGGAGCCTTTATCAGCAAAGATGTGTCTGACAATATTTTCCCCTTTTGCACTCTGGTCTTCATCGTCTACCAGGGCAAAGTGTTTACAGAGACCGGCTGTGACTGACTTTGACACAAGTAAATTGAATAGTGTCACTTATTCAGCTTAGTGATCATTAGCCACATATGACCATTAGGCCTTTTGGAAGTCAGACTTTTCTTGGCAGCTGAGCAACACAAATACATCGGAGCGTATGGAAGCTTGACATAGGAGGAGTACGAGTTGGAACGAATGACACCCTGTCAGAGATAACGAGGTGGCAGAGATAGAGAGGAAGGGATGGAGGAGGATAGAGAAAAAGAGAGAGGGAGAGAGAGACGTGACGATGCGCCTCAGCCCGAGCATCCCAACGACAACCCTCAGCTCAATATGGCCGCCCACACCAGTCGTCTGATTTGTTGACAAATGAGTGGGAGAGGTGTCAGTCAGCATGCTGTGGAGGAAGAGACGCTCCTCATTACTCCCGGGGATAATTGCCCGAAGACGCGAGGGCACAACACTTGCTTTAGTGGGAGATGGGAGGGGAGGCAGAGAGAGAGAGAGGGAGCCGGAGTCAGGAAGGCAATGCTTGGCATGATGGGAAATCAAACCCCCTCAGTGGCGGTCGCCAAGGGGAGCGCCTGACAGATGAAAGGGACCAGACAAAGACAGAGAGAGAGAGCACCCAAAGGCTCTGCAGATCAGAGGGGGACACCATCGAAAATAATGACAATGCTAGCAGGGGGAGGGGGGGCAGAAGGGGGGAGACGCTCATGCACGCTCTCGTACATATCACCTAAAGGAAACTTTCATCCCACACATAAAGGGCGGAAGCAGGGACGAGTTGTCTTAAGAAAAGTTTGGATTGTGTGCCGTGTGTGTCTCTATGCATATGTGTGTGTCTTTGTTGAAACTTGCTGATTTTGTCGCGGGTTGGGGGCTGAGTGACAGGGCCAGGGAGGCGGACTGGCAGGAAGGAATCTCAATATGGAATTTTAATAAGGACGAGAAAGGAAGAGATGCCAGGCGGCACGCTGGCGTGAGAGGTGTGTCTGTCTGACAATGTTTGCTCTGTGCACTCGTGCATGTGTGCACCCCTCACCTCCTGATTTTGGGAATCTCATTTGGGGAATGTTGACAAGGACAAAAGACGGAGTGGAACAGAACATGGGGATCACCCCCCCACCTCCCCTTCCAAAAAAAGTGGGGAAAAAAATGGATTTGAGCACATTGGAAGCTGCTTTTCCAGCTTTATCCAATTAGATTGGAGCTCAGGCAAACTAAGAGCTTTAATGCAATTGAGCTCCCAGCACTTTTCTAAGTCTGACATACACTTGTTCCTCTTGACTGGGTAACAGACAGTCACTTCAGGACCAAAAGTCTTAAGTGTTAAGCTTGAAATCTTCTTGGGGTAGGAGAGTGTCTGCTGCTCGCACACTGCTGCAGCGATGGCAATGCAAATTCTCACTGAATTACAAACTAGACCATAAAATCCTACTTTCATACTTTCTAAGTTATGTTCATTAGTGAGTGTCTGTGTGGATGTCCAGTGAGTTCCATGGTCTCCCCTCAAACATGTCCACATTAGAAATGACGGATATTTCTTGACATCACTTGGGACATTACACTGTTACTATCCAATGCTGCTGAATCTTAAACTTTGCGGAGGTATATCATCAAGAGTGACGTGATGGTGCTTGTGAAAGCCTTCCACTGATTTTATTGAGAAAACACATTGGGGAAATATAAATTCTCTTCAGTTCTGTGGTGCTATCTTTGACTTTTCTGTGTGGGAGTTTGCATACTTCTCTAGAGTTGATAAATTACTTAAGGATCTAAAAAGATTTGTGGATCGAGTGACATGCATTGTTAGATCAAGAGTTCCCCAAAACTAACAGTGATTTAAATCATATTTGCCACTTCTTAACACCAATGACAAAGTGCTCTAGATCCTCTTTTACCTTCTTGTAAATCTACACAATGAGCAGGTAGGGCTCCTCTTCCTATCATAACCAGTGGATGTCTCCTGTCCATTTAGTGTCTCTCTGATAAATTTTCTCTCCAAGACTCGCATCTTGTTTTATCAGGGAAGGTCTGAGACGCACGGCGTGCTCTGACAGCTGTTCAAACAGCCATGCTCGCTTTCAAAGGGCAGATGTCTTCGCTGGAGCGAGTCATGCTTATTTTCCTCGGGGAGATGCTTTCCGCCGCAGGCCTGAGCTGGAACTAAAATGGCCCTTTACCAGAAACACAAGTTGGGAAAGCTGAGGCGTGGAGTGGCGAAAAAACACACCTCGGCCAGACGCTGACAGTGTGTGTTTGTGTGTGTGTATGTTTGTATGTGAGTGTGTGTGTGTATCTTACTGAGGTGGCAGAGCTGTGATAACTGGAGCCAGATGTTTGAGAGCCCCTGTGTTGTGATACTTGTAACATGTCGAGCTCCTGGATGTGGCTGTTAGAAAACTGAGTACTGTATATCAGTGTGGTCACTGATTCATCTCCTCTTTATTTCTTTTTACTCATTCAAATGACATGTCTGTCCTGGAGCCTCTTTGACAATTACAATTTCAGAGTCTTGCATTTCATGAATGTTTGTTGCTCACTATAAACTTACACACCTCTTGCCTCTTGGGAAAGGAAATTATGTCATGTTGCAAATTTGATGAAATTTGTATTTGATGCAAATGAAACGATGCAAAACTTTAGAATGTCAGTTACTGCTTTTTATTGTACTTATATATAAATATATAAATATATAACTGGACGATGTGAATCTCAGGGCTAGTTTTCTTACGGACGTGTTCTTTTTAATTCATATTAAGTCAAATTTCAAAACATTGCTTTTTTCAAACATCAACTGCACAATGTACTGCACAATGCACAATTCAATAAGCATGAGACTTACACTACCTCCTCAGCAACTATTGAATCAGGTGTTAAACATGGACAAAATTCCTCACCACAATAAAACCCGAGGGCCTTTGAGTAAGATACAGACTTCTCTTACTGGCACGAGACACTCGCCACATCCTCACCTGAGTGAAAATAAATCCTGTGAGTTAATAGAGGGCAAACATTTAAGCATAACACTCACTTGTGGTTCTCAAGCAGACGCGCTCAGTGTGCAAGTGTTCTCCACGGTCGGTTATTCATGGGTTGTTAGCGGACTAGTGCAGCCCCCAACAGAATCAATATTACATAGATTCATCTTAGATTTGGCACATGGATTATCTGTGCAGTGACGTTTGATGGGTTTGAGCTTGTTCCAGACACGGCTTACATGCTTCGTTCGGGTTTGTGTGTGTGTGTGTTTGTGCATGTTTGAAGGTGGGTGTGATTCTGCATGTACATGTTTAGACAGATATGGCTTTCATTTTGTCTTTATTACTGCTGTCAGGTGAAAAACTCATACCTCATGTTTTCAGGAATATAAAGTGGCAATCTCCAAGATTTTTAATTTCCTAAGTCTGTTAAGTCACTATCTGTCACAAAGTGAAGTTACAGAATTTATGCTATAGCTTGCATATATAAATATTGCAATATTTATAAATTTGCATCATTAGGAAATCAGTGTCTGTGGTGAGATTTCCATTTTGACTAACACAAGCCAAATATATATCTGGTTCTTCAAATGAAAACATTAAACTAGCAAAACAGTTGACTTTTATTATGAAGTTGTCAAAGGATATGCAATGAATTTGTCAGCGATCTTAACACTTACTGCTATTTCTGAAAAATGTACTTTTAAATATAAAAAATTTAATGGGAGAAGCTGTTAGGTGAAGAGTTGCAGGTCGGCTCAGCGAGGAAACAAACTCCTTTCAGCTGTGTGCAGACTCACAGCGTGTGCAGCGTAAAACCGGATCACAGTGGCTCATAGAAAGATGGAAAAAGTCAATTCCTACCTGACTGCTTAATTAAAATTACAAAAGTTTCTATATTTCTGTGACCTGTAGTGATAAACTGCATTTATTGTTCCTATCAATCAACCAGGGTGGAAATATTTTTGTTTTTATGTTGAACTTTTCTATTTATTTCATTGATTAGATCAAATATTGCAGGATGAACCCACAGAGAAGTTTGTGATCAATCAGTCATCACATCATGGAAATGATAAAAATGATGAATCTGTTTTTTTTTTAAACCAAAACATGTCTGTGCATATTTTACATAATTATTTTCTGCATATAGGTTTGAATGCATATCATCATCTCACACACACACACACACACACACACACACACTCTCTCTCTCTCTCTCTCGCCGTGCGTGCTGATTAGATATAAGCGAGGGCGTCTGTGCACTGTGTTTTCTGTGAAGCAGTCGTTGATGGCTGCTCGTATTGAGTGGAGCCTCCTGCTGAAAGACACAGTGTTTACATCCCAGCGGCAGACCACAGGAGATCAATAAGCAGCCACTCGATGCTCATGCATACACATATAGTATCTGCTGCCCACTATTATTCCCAGGGTGAAAGCTCCCTATCAGTTGGACTCGCATGTGCCCTCTATACATCAAGCATCACGCTCACCATAGGCTTATGGCAAACCTAAAGTGAAACTGCAGAGAAAGAAAGATCCAAACAATTATACAAAGTTTTGGGTCATCTTTATACAGACTGAAAAGAAAAGTATCCAAAAATCTGTTTCTAATGCTTGGAGCAAAGTGTTGTTTCAAAGCCGTGTCATCCCAAAATAAAGCGACATCTGCAGCCTGCACTCTGACTGACCACACTGGTTGTCTTGATTTCAAACATTCAG